ATAACGTATGATATAAACGATAATCAGGATAAGCAAATTGAAAAAGGAGTACAAAAAGGAATTGATATAATAAAACAAGCCAAAAAATAACAAACTTTAAAGTAATAACCATTACTTTCCCATGGTGGTGGAGTATGGTTAATAAAAGGCTTTATTAATCTTTTTGGAAATAAAAAGGACTAGTTATATGAAGAATACGCAGTTGGTCATGCAACGCAAATAAAAAAAAAAAAAAAAAAATGATCAATTTTTTTTTGTTTTTCTTTTTATAAATAAAAAGATGTAAAAAAAAAAATATATATATTTTATTTTTTTGAAGAAAAAAAGAAAAGAACGTCAGGAAAAAGTTGAGAAAATTGGTTAAAAAATCAAATGGTAAAATATTTGTTATCAATAAGAATTAGATATTATACATACAAAATAATTTAATTTATATAGTATTTATATATTTTTAATTTGTAAGAGAAAATTTTATACATATAATAATAAAATTTTCACGTAATTAATATTCATATAATTAATTTGCATTTTTACTAATTGTTTATGTTTGTTAATTTAACAGCAATATATTTAAATTGCTGGACATAAATCATAACAAAAAAATAAGTAATATACAATTAATTAATAATCAATATTCAATAAGGATATAATTTTTTAATAAAAACAAAGATTTTTATTAAAGTAAATAAATGTCTATTGAAATTATAGAATGCTGAACGAAGTAGATCACATAATTAAGAATCACTCGTTAAAAGCATTTAAAAATATATGTAAATACATCAAAAATCGTAGAGGCAACTCTACATGCTCTTTATTATTTTGTTTATTTAATACTCTAGCAAAGTCACTGAATACCCATTTAACAAATCAATTTTCTATATATCCTGAATCTATTGATATATTGTCCACATAATTAATCCTACGCTGTTCCAGCTATAATGAAAATTATAAATCAACATAAAGATTTTTTTTACATCAATGAACTTTTAATTCAAATATGTATTTAAAAAATTAAAAGCATTATATATATGTTTAATTGATTTTATCTTACATATAATTTGAAAATCAAAATTATCATATATACACATGCTATTCCTAAAATTACGTCAATTGTTAAGAATGAAGAAAAAAATTTATCTGACTTAGTTTCATTATGAATTTTCATATGAGGACTGCTATTTCCGTTTACTTCTCCATTCATTTTAAATTTTTTTGTTCATATTATGTAATTTTTTTTTATTTTAAGAAATTAATATTGATTCACATATAAATAAGGATATGTTGTCAATTTTTAGAAAGAATGGATGTTTTTAACTTTTTAGAAAATAAATTATAGAAAAGAATAAGTTTAAACTCATTATTTTTTAGGTATTTAGAAATTTTAATTTTAATTAGTACAATTTTTTCTTTATTTCTTTTTTTCATTATGAGTTATTAAAATAATTTAAATTTTGCTAAAGAAGAGGTTTTCTTTTAATACAATATAATTTTGATAGCTAATTTTTTTTTTAATGAAGCACATTTCAAATATTTTAAATTAATATAAATAATTAACAGAAAATAAAATTAATTTATAATAATGTTTTAAAAATGATTTTACAGAATTCTTAGCTTAATGTAAGAAAAAAAGAATAATTAGCGATAATATTATGCACTTTTTTTAAATTCAATGAATATGAAATAGTAAATATTTCTTAAATTCATTTCCTTTATTATAGATATAATAGTATTGCATATGAAAGCAATTAATTGATTTTATATATGATTAAATTATGAAAAGAAAAAAAACTTCTCACTTAAAATAGAAATTTTGTAATTTATAAAAATTATTTTTTTTTTTAAATTTTAGGAGTAATTTTTTTTAAATATAATTTAATAATATTTTATTATCAATAAGAAGGAATTATTATGCGCAATAATTTCATATCGAAGAGAAAAAATTTTAAATAGAATTAATTAATACATGCAAAAAAATTTTTATAAAACATGAAAATTATTGTTATTATTATAATTGAAGTCATAACTATGCAATGAAAATTGATAAAAATAGATAATAATGAAAACAAATTTGAAAATAATAAAAAATATTATAATTTTCTAAAAAAATAAGATGAATATGAAAAAAAAAAAAATGTAAGTATATAAAATTTTAATAAAAAATATTAATGCAGGAAAAAAAAACGAAAATAAAAAAATAAAAATAAGGATTTTTAAGAGTTAAAATATAAATAATTATGATTATAAAATTAGTGGCTAATTTTCTAAAAAAATAAGATGAATATGAAAAAAAAAAAAAATATAAGTATATAAAATTTTAATGAAAAATATTAATGCAGGAAAAAAAATGAAAATAAAAAAATAAAAATATGGATTTTTAAGAGTTAAAATATAAATAATTATGATTATAAAATTAGTGACAATTAAAAGTTATTTCATATTAAGATATAATGATAAAATATTAATAACATTACAAAAAAATAACAGTAGTACTGAATTACTGAATATTTTATTTTAATGAAGTTAAAATGTCGTTATGATGTGGTAAATAAATTTTACAATATAAATGTTATGAATATATATTATTGAAATATAATCGACAATTATTTTTAAATAAAAAAATAAAAGCAAAATCTATATATTATAGACTATAACAATTTAACAATAGCATAAATTTTACAATAATATTGAACACTCATTAAAAACAAAATTAGTGAAGTCTGTTTTTATATTCATATGAAGTTATAATGACTAGTTAAAATTTAGTAATATTTGAAAAAAAAATGCAATATAAATTTTTTGCATGCATTATTTTTATGATAGGAATAAAAAAAAATGTTTTGTAGAAATGTTAATGATACTTAGATTTTTTCAAAAATAACATTAAATAATTATAAAATTTATGAATTTAATAATACAATGAGAAAAATAATGGTGATAATTTTTCTTTTTTATATATACAAGGTTTATAATAAACTTTTATATGTTATCAATGCATTATTTTGATATATTGAAAAATTTGCTTATTTTTTTTTATTGTATTCTTACTCTACACGTAAAATAATGACTTGATAGTCTTTGAACAATTAATACTTTATATGAATGATTTTTCAAAAAGATATATACTCTAGTACTTTTTAAGATACCTTATGTTTTTTATATGGACAATCATAATTAATTCGTCTTAAAATATAAAATAATGTTTATACTTTCTTTTTAGATAAATCATTTATTTTACATATTAAAAGAAAGATAACGTAAACATTTTTATTTAGATAAAAAAAAATTTTTTATTAAAAAATTAAATAAATTGTATCTAAAAAAAGATAATACATATTTATATATATAATTAAATTAATCCCTTTTTATTAATAAATGTTTGCATTTTTATATAAGAATTTTTTAAATTATAATTTTTGGGCAATTAACAACAAATTACATAACCATAATAGATTTGTTTGTATTAGATTAGTGGAATGATACTTTAAGTTATATTGTTGTATTCTATTTTATATGCTTGAATTTTTTTTTTAATATTCTGAATTATTTATTTTTATTAATATAAAAGAAACTGTAAATTATTAAATATTATTGAAGCAAAAATTATGCACTACAAATTTATTAATTAATAAATTAAATAATAGATACACAAAAATAAAGTAAATAATTTTTCCACAATTCTAGTACTCTTATTAAGAAAAGAAAAGGTATTACTATTATAGAAAGAACTCTTTTTTCTTTTTATGTATAAATGATAAAATTTATTTGTTCTTTAGTTATATATGTATGTTTTAATGTCNAATCTCTTGTTTTTGTTAATTTAATAACAATTGTTTAGGATTACTGAATATTATTATTCATAACATTATAATTAAAATATATCTAATTAAAAAATGATAACTAAGAAAGATTTAACTGTCTTAAAATAACAATATGAAACACATTCAAATAAAGAAAATATTTATCCCCTTTTTAATTTGAATATGGACCCCAATAAGGAAAGAACTTAGGATCTGCAAAGGCCTAAAAAACATTGTATTTGACATTTATAACTAGATGATCAAATGATTCAAAGTATTCTGGGAAAGAAGTTAAATAATTGGCTTTGAATTCATATCTATAGCAATATTTTAGCAGATGTCATTTGCTCTTGATTATCTTATTCAATTTCCTTGTATTGGTATATGGATACCGAATCTTAATTCCCTTTTACTTTTGTGTTTATTTTCTTTTCTTGTCCCACAGCTTCAGCATCAACAGATTGAAGTGGTGAAGTGGTATGCCAGGAAAGAAGACAAGTCTTAAGAGCAGTGAAAAAAAGATTTTACATACAGAATAATTACAATTTAGAAAATTATATATTTATTACTTTCTGTTTTCTGATGGTTCCTCTGCTGGTAGAAAGAAATAGCCTTCAATAATGGAAATCTATAGGAACTTTACTTTTCATTTTCCCTTTTTTTTTTTTTTTTTTTTTTTGAAAAGACGTTTTTAATTAAAGACTATTTTCACAAATTTTTTTTTTTTTTTTTTATAAAAGGAATGCATTGCATGAAAAAAAAATAAAAGAAATATCTTATAAGAAGGTGCTTTTAAAAATGAATCAACTCAATGATTCTTATAAATTAAAAAATAAAAGAAGTTTATCAACTGTTGAATTATTGAAACAAAATATAAAGACTTTGAATCAAAATGTTTTAAAAAAAAATGAAATGGTAATTTGTCTACAAAAAAAAAAAAAAAAAAAAAAAAAAAAAATTAAAAAAAAAAAAAAAAAAAAAAAAAAAAAAGTTAATAAAATAATAGAAAAGATATTAAAAAATATAATAATAAAAAAATATAATAAAAAACTAAAATATTATTATTACTTATAATAAATTATGGGTAATAAGGATAATATATATGAAAAGTAGTTGTAAATTATTATTAAAGTTAAAAAGAATAAATAAATTTTATCATTTTTTTTTTTTTCTTTTTTTTTTTATTATTAATTGTTTATTACAATGAGCACAATACAAGATGATAATTTAAATGAACAATCTACTAAAACTACAAAAAGAAAAAATCAGAAAGTTGGTGCAAGAAAAAATGTTAAAGAAAATTATAAGGAAGTAAATATAAAAGAAGGAAATAGTCAATTTTGTCATCGTAATTTTAAATTAATATCGTTATCATTAGGATATATTATAAATACTTTTTTTTATTTTTTGTTCATTCATATTTTTAGTAAAATTCTTGATAAATTTATATATATGTTGTCTAAAATATCAGAATATGATTATAATGATAGTTTAGTAATAGGGTCTATTAAAATTATAATTATTTTATCCTTATGGTATAAATATTTCTCTGGTGGTTATGATGGAGATCCTTTTTTTCAGTTTTTCAAACATCATTTTAAATTAATCAACAAAAGTAAAAAAACAAAAAATAAAATAAAATGAGTAAATAGTATTAAAAAAAAAAAAAAAAAAAAAAAAAAAAAATATATTTGAAAAGTTTAATTAAAAATTTACTTATTTTTATTAAAAAATGTACATTTAGTGTGTGTAAATCTATGATTATATATAAGACAATCTTAAAATAGTGGATAATTTTTCCTAAATATTTTCATTAATTTTTTAAAAGAATTTCTCTTAAAATTAAAATCCCTCTTTTTCTAAAAAAATATGATTAAAAACAAAGAAGTTACAACTAAAAATAAGAAAAATAAAATATTTTTTTAATATAGTTATTTAAGATCCTTTTTTAAATATTGAACTTGAATAATTAACTTCATACTTTACGCATATGTTATTAAATATTATTTCATAAAAGGTGAACTAAATTCTTAATTAATTAAAGCTAGAAAAATACTACTGGAAAAAAATTAACGGTTTATTTTATTAATTACTTTTAATTTTGTTAGTTAAAAGATAATTGATTTAATGATTTATTAATTTACTGTCCATAAACTTTTTTGGTAATTATGAACAAATTAATTAATGAAGAGAATGTATAATAATATATATTTCTTTTATTATATTTAAATAATTTAATGTATATATATATAAATAAATATATATATAATATTCAAATATTTACATAAATATGAATTTTTATATTTATTTAAGATTTTAATGAATAATTTAATAACTTTAATAAGATAGTCAACAAAAAATATAGCAAAAAATATATAGAGAATTCATATTGTTTTTAATTAAATCAATTACTCATACTATAAGGATATAATATGTAAGTTTTTAATTAGCTCAAATTATGTAAGCTCCTATCACGCCATTCACAAAACATGTAATAAACATTTCATGTAAAGAGAAACATAACGATTCTTCTGAGCATTTTTTTCAAAAAGCACATCAATATAATTTTATCATACATTCTTTAAGCTTGGATGTTTTCTCTTTACGTATGTTTTGGGATATTTTTAACATTGTATATATTTTTATACACTAAAGATGTATCTGTTAAAAATTTATTATTTTGAGTCACACAAAAGTTCAAGTATATTATTATGAAAGAAAAATAAAAAAGTTATAAATAAATATATAACTATATATATATAAAAAGAAAAATGCACCTAATTTAATGGAAATTTTATAGATACAGATAGTTTCGAATCTCATGTTATCCTTAATTAAACTATAGTATTTTAGCAAGTTTCCCTTTTTGATCAAGTAGTAAAAATAATTTCATTAATATATTTACATAATGTATAAAAATATATTAATATATTCTTAACTTATTATTTAAAATTTTATTAAAATTCTTAATTCTTTATAAATACTTTAAACTGGAATGCTAACAATAATATATAAAAATGTTACTTACCTTTTTTAATACTCTATTATTTTGCTACTTAAATACTTTCAGAGAAATTTAAACAACCATATGAATAAAATGCAATAGAATAATTTTTACTTATTGTCTTTATAAAATTATTTATTATAAATAGCATATAATCTTAATATAATTACAATATAAAATAAATTATTTTATATTAAAATTAAAGTTATTTAATGCTACATTAAATCAATATTTTATTTATTAATTGTCTGTATAACTTTGGTATAACATTGAGCAAACGAATATAAAAAAAGTATGTAAAGTGATCTTTACAAATTTTAATTGTTAAAAAAACATATTTTTGTTAAAAATAGGAAGACATTATATATATGGTTTACACAAAATAGTGTTTATTGCGTTGGAAGAATTTACTTAAATTAATAAAAATATTTTTTCATTCTTATTAAAACTTACACCCTTATTATAAAACCTCTAATTATGTATAAAATAATTTTTTTAAAATAAATAACATATAGTTGTAAAAGATTATTACATCCTTTTTAGAAATATGTAAAAATTCAACATGAATGAAAAAAAATTTTTTTTTTTTTATTTTCCTTTTTAAACTTAAAATTTAATTTTTATAGTTACGAAAACTAATTTTATAGAAAAAATAATTGTTTTATTCATTATTTGTTAAGTGA